CATTCCCCAGAGTGATTTCTCCTTCTCACAAGGACTTAATCCACTAATCAATTAGATTACAACTCAGAGATCAATTGCCAATGAATTCTTGAGGCTACATACTAAACTTAGTCCCTCAAGAAATTTCAGATTACAAACTCAAAGACAAACTTTCAATGACTTCTCGAGGCTACATACTAAACTTAGTCCCTCAAGAAATTTAACCAAAGGTTACAATAAAATGTGTGTGTGTGTGTGTGTGTGTGTGTGTGTGTGTGTGTGTGTGTGTGTGTGTGTTTACAAGAATGCTTCTAAACAAGCAGATAAACAAAATGAAATTAAGAATTTACACTTAAGAAAATATTCAAGATTTAGCTCTAAGTGTAATGAGTGTTAAAATTGTTGTTTCTCTTATTGTTGTATTGTTTCCACTGTTTTCTCTTTTCTCACCCTGATTCTCTACCTTCAAAATTTCTTGTCCTCTTTAAATAGATGATAAATAGTACCATTGCGGATAGAATTGGAAGATGATGAATAGTACTATTGTAGGATGAAATTGGAAACATCTTTAATTTCATAACTATAGTAATGGTATGAGGTTGAGCCGTGAATTGTGGAGATTCATTGGTAGTACGTTCCTTTAAGAATTCCAACATGTGTTGTCCTTTTAAGGAAACATTTGATTTTTCCACTTGAATGTACTATCTCTAAGAATATTCTTTCAATAATTATTTTCTTAATCATTGACTTCATATTTGAGATGATTTAAAGCTTGATTAAAGTTTAGAGCCTTGAAATTAGACTTTAGAGTCTAGTAAAAATGAGGCTTGAGTTATCAAATTTAATCTTGATTGTGTTGTAGAGACATTGTCTTGGTTATCTAGATGATTGACTATCAGATGAACACTTCTTCAAATTTCAACTTTAGTTTGTCCAGAATCCGGAGTCTCTTTGTCCAAAGTTCAGAATCTGCTTTGTCCAGAGTCCAAAGTTTGCTTTGTCCAGCTTTGCCTAGAGTATGCTTTCATTATCTTAAGATTATGCACACTTAATGAAAATATTATTGTAGAAAATTGTTCTCTATAATTTGTCATCATCAAAACTTAAGGATTGTAGATGCAGAACCAAATTTGTTCCAAGACTTAGATCCGTGAGACACACCCCTTGGATGACGTTGCCTTCTACTCTGTATATTTGGCTTGCGGTTCACATTTGACGTATCCTCACTTACATGAGTGCGTCATGCGGAAATTCGTCTTCATGTAGTATATTTCCAATGACCCATCTGAGTTTTCTCCTCTCGCTATGGTACGTAGAGATGTAGATACCATATTTGATGATTACCTTAATCACTTTGAGGTGAGAGACGTTCTAGATACCATGAAGGGAGAGACACAATAGTACAAGAGGCAATGTAGGTATAGGGGACCCGATCCCATCATACACATCAGTATATAGTATTTATATTATGAACACTATTTTCGATTTTATTTTATTTTGACTATTTCATTTTCATATTATTTTAGAAATGTATGATTTAATTTATATAAAATTGAAAAAAATAGTATAACTATAATATATCAAAAATTTTATCAGAGCATCTATAAAATAAAGTCAAACAATACTGGCTTTCATTTTAGAAGAGTATGATTTATTGGCATTGAGATGTAGGCCAACCCTCAAAATAATGTCATTATTGTAATCAAATAAGATTCTTCCCCATTTTCATTGAAATATGATATTTCAGTTGGTTTTGTCTGTCAATTAATATTAGAACACTTTGTAGGTACATGTCATGTCATGATGAATGTGGAATCAATTTAGAAGTCAACAAAGTTAATTAAATTTGGGTCATGCTAATATGTACTCTAGATATTATAATTAAAAAGAATAAAATATAATTAAATATAATAAAATTATATTTAAAATTTAAAACATTGAATACACGTGTTTCAAGATAATATTTCTACAGAAAATTTATTAATTTATGTCCTTAGAGCATCCACATCCATATCTCTTCATGGATTCTTTAAATGAGTCCCACTTAATTTTTTATATTATATTACACTTTTACATTTTCTAAACAACCCAACTACATTTTTTAAATATCCATACAACCCATCAAAAACTTTAAAATGGATCCCACCAAATCTTACAATATATTTCACATTATTATTATTATAAAAACTATATAATTGAAAATTTTTAATTCAAATATATCAAAATACATTAAAAAGAATTGTACATTTAAAATGAAATAAAATTTAAATAAATAAATAATTAAATATATTACTTAAAAAATATATTAAAAAACATAAACGTTAAAATAAATTACTTAAAAAATACATTAAAAAACATAAACGTTAGAATAAATTACTATAATAAAATACAAGAAAACGATATATTTAAAACATGTTTCAATTGTTACTATTCTCATTAATGATATAACCATTACTTTTTTACATTTGGCAAAAAAATCAGTTAAAGAGCGTGGTTAAATAAGAGAACATGCATGAATGTAGGAACGCTATTTTTTCTCAATTATCCAAATATTAAAAACAAATTTATTAAAAACTGTGTAGCAACGACACTTTGTCAGCCGATAATTATACTCTTAGAGAACATGTTAGTTTGTCCCATTAAATTCTGAGTTAAATGCATAATTTTCTCCTGTAATATAGATGGGTTTTGATTTACCTTTTTTTTAAAATATTTTTTTATTACCTCTGTAATTTTTGAGTTCCTCTTAAACGTGTAAAAACTAGAGGAGAAAATTAAAAAAAAAATTAAATAGGATAATTTTTCCACTTAGGGGAAAAAGATTTAGTGTTTTAAAATTTCAAAGGGGGTATTAAAAAAAATATTAAAGGAAGGTAAATCAAAATCCACGTATATATTGTAGGAAAAATTATACATTTAACCCTTAAATTTTTTTTGATGAATTGTTGATATTGAAGAAAAGATATTAAAGAATTGCAACTAATAATACCAATCTTTTGAAGGAAAGAATGTTGATGAGTGGATGGTCAAGGTTGATGAGTTTTTATGCATGAGGTTTATGCAAAGAAGAATAACAAATACCAAAATACCAAAAGTTAAGAGTGGTCACCGATGGTACCAATTAGGGATCTCATGTATTCCAAATTGTAACTTCGGAAAAAGTTTACAAAAAAAATTCTTCGCCTATAATTGTGCGATGAATGAGTGGTCAGCCCCTCACATGGTACCAAGTACCAACTATGGATATCAGGTATTCCAAAAGTAACTTGGCAAAAGTTTACAAAAGCAATTCTTTGCCTACAGTTTTGGCAAAAATGATAAAAAAATTTGCAGACAAATTAAAGAATATAATAATTTTTTATAAGATATTGTATTTTTATTAAATTAATCTTATTAATATATTAAAAATAGTGTACAAATTAGTAATTAAAAAATACAATTGAAAAAATAACAATCATTTTATATTGAAAAGTGAGAACGACATTTATTTTAAAACAATTATTTTTTTTATTACACTCATTCCTTATTAGGAGCGAATGACCAATTATTAGTCTTGGCCGAGTTTAATGGCACGTCTTATTAAACTCACCTCCATCCCGTCCGTTGCCATGCCTATCATTGTGAAACGGGGAAGTTAATGAGAACGACAAAAACAAATCCAAGAGAAAACAAAACTCATATTAATAGAAGGTGGAAAAACAGGTGATTAGATTAGTATCTCAATTTGACATATTTGTCCAATATGTTGCCTTAAAGAGTCATATCTGTATCAGTGAAAAAAAGGTCACAAGTCCAACAAAATAACAACTATAGCATTGCGATTGAACATGAGCACTTTTCAATAGTTTTTCAGCACATCAAATAGAATTGAGGCTCCGTCTTTTTTTTAATGAGACCTTGGTGAAAATTCCATGGCAGCTACTAGATCATAAGAAATGTTGGAGTCTATATTGTTGGGTTTTACATATGCCTGTTATTATAAGTTAAGTAGTTAGTTAAGAAGTTAATGGATAGTTAGAGAAGGGATTATATTTAAGGGAGCAATAAGACATTTTGGCATTGGGAAATAGGCAGATCCTCAAAATACTCTCAAAGTACTGCCGTTTTTGTAATCATGGATTTTCTTCACCATTTCTCAGTAATGATATATCAATTAATCTAATATACATTTGTTATTATTTAAAAAATAATGGTTGCTACCAACCTATTATAACATACTCCCCCCAAAATGAAATCTCACCCCATAGTCTATGTCAAATTATACTCCTGCCAGGGAACAAGTAAATTAAAACAATAAGTCAATAACTCACCAATGCAGTTTAAACTCTAAAAATAATATGAAATGTTTATATTGTCACTGTCAATTTTCCATAACAGCCAATACTATTTTTCATGAAACCCATTTTGAATTTAAGCACATATCCATATATGGCAAACAATGTTGGTGGTAGCCAAGTCAAAAACTAATTTTGTAGTGGATGTTCAGAACCAAGATTGTCATATCAAACCAGTAAGTTCCTGTTAAAGAGTAAATAGAAAAAATTGATACTCTCTCTTAGCCCATACAACAAACACCTTGAAGGGACATAAATCAGAAGCTACAAAACTGATACTCTCTCTTAGACAATACAACAAACACTTTAATGGCTTAAACAGTACTTAACAGGTACTTAAAGATTCTTCCCTATAAATATCCCGACATCAGGAACGAGAGTTGAACCTAGAACCTCTCTGTGCGCGCGTAATTCAACTACTTACCAAGTGAATGAACTTTCTTGACTAAAATCTACTACTTTGCTTCAAGTAGTATTAAATGTGATTATACAATTCACACTGTTCGATCACAAAAGATTTTGTAAAATTTTCATGCATTGCTCTTTTTTTAACTTTTCTTGAATGTTCATTAATTTGACTACAAACCAATTATAGAACAAATTGAAGAAAAACAACAGAAAATGCAATATAAAGATTACAGATACATTACAATAGGAAGTTTCACATTGGAACAAAGTCAAAACTTATCAGAAAGCATCCGGGTTTTCCTTTTGATACTTGTAATCTATCCAATCTGCCAAATCATCATAGCAATCTTTTAAAGAGATAACAATGACTCTATTTTTGCTATCTTTAATCAATTCTAAAGCATAGCTAAATCGTTTTTTAAACCAATGAAGTTCTTCCTTTAGAACTTTCAAGACATAAATGCAATTCGGAATAGAGTATTGACCACTGACATAAGATGTCGCTGCAATATCTTCATCATGTGCTGTCTCTCTTTCCTTTTTCACCTGATGTAAAAAACAATATGAAGCTATAACATCAAACAGATACATGAATTTTTTTTTTCATAACGAAGTGATAGTAACCATTAGAAAATAACAGGTAATAGCATCCAACCTAATAATATCGGTTGGTTTCTGCCAGCTAAGATTGACAGACAATACATAATAATCGTCTTACAAAATACAATGTTTTTCTTCCAAGTCAATCATGTGATTTATTCTGAAACACTTATACGTCGACACCTTAATAATCATAAAAGAAATTAATAAAGTAATCATAAGTATTGTTGTGAGTTTCGGACACAACACATCTATTTTCCGAGGTGTCAGTACTATACATAGTTGATTTCATAGTAGTTCTTTTTGCTATCTTAGCAAAGAAAATCAATTCAGATTTAGATTTGATATGAAATTTTTTACTAAAACAATTTCGCTAAAAAAACACTCAAATCTCTAGCTAGCACCAATATTCCTACAGGTTACTTTTTAAAAAGTCCCAAATTGAACCATTCAAAACCCCTAAAATCAAGTAAATAAAGTAGATATATGTAATATTATGAACACAAATTCATCATTGAACTGAAAAATCTAGAAATTTAAAAGAGGGATGAAGATTACATCAGATTCAGACATAGAGGCTTGTGTATTGGAGTCACGGACACAGTGATCGCTTGTGTTGGTGTTGTCTTTGACGAAAGAGCAAATGACAGGTTTTTGAGGGTTGCGATAATTTCGGGTCAAATCTATCGATACTTATTTGGGGCCCAAAAATATCTAAACATTTTAGTATCTTTCTATTTTTTATTTATATTATAAGAATTTGTTTAAGATGTTGTGAGTTTTTGAGTTTTAATTTAATAAAATCAATTTTAAAATTAAAACCTTTTTTATAAAAATAAATTTGATTTGATTTTTTTTAATTAAAATTTATATTAGTATGTTTTAAAATTTTAAGTGATGAGAGAATGAAATCGTAAAAAATCAATGTTGTAGAAAGTTGAAAGTAGTAGAAAGGCCTACAAAGGACGTAGAAAATGCAGTGGCAGAGTTTTGACAATTGTTTGCAATGTATCTATGTTGGCAGCACTGATGGAGAAGGAGGAAATTCTATAGAAAATTTTGAGAGTCAAGGGTAAAAATTATTATGATTGTGTTTTTGTAATTTGGGTAACCTTTGAAGATATCTAAGGAGATTAGAAAACACTTTAAAAAAAATTGAGCTTGTGTCATTCATATATACATAGTTAGAGACATTGGAAAATCCTCGAGTATATAATATGTTTTATTCTAAAGAACTTGTGATGTTATTTTCTTGTAACTCTTGTTAAATATCTTATAACAATTCTTAGAAGTATAGTGAATCAAAGAGTTGCTCCCCCTTTCTGCAAAGTGTATTTGTTTGATTAAATAGAGTAAATAAATTTTTTTGTGTTCTCGTCTTTTACATTCCTCTTGCTTGATGTAGATTTGCTGTAACTCTTAAAATGTTAGTGTGTTGCATGATGTCATTTATTTAGGAAACTAATATTAAGGTTGAAATCAATGAAAGCTTGGTGTATTTGAACATATAAACAAAGTCACTATTATTGTTAGAGTTTCCACAATAATTGGCATTTATCATTGGGAAAAGGAGTTCTTTTTACAAGTGACCACCATGGTTAATAAATGGAATATAGAAATGTTTTTGGAGAAAACAATTTTGGATCGTGGAAAGTGAAGATACAAGCAAGCGTAAGACAACAAAATTTTATTGAAGGTTGAGAATTTATGCCTTCATGATTAACACAGGCAGAAAAGTTCGAGAAGATGGGTATTACCAAGAATGTCATCATCTTGTGCCTCGGGAATAAAGCTCTAACAGAAGTCACCAGGGATAAAATTGTGGCTTTGATGTGAGAAAAAACATGAATCATTGTATATGATCAAGTATTTGGATCACATGTTGTGTTTGAAACAACAACTTTATTCATTCAGAATGATGGAAAACAACTTTATTATGGAGCACTTGAGAGAATTCCACAAGATCATTAATGATCTGAAGAATATTAAGGTGAAGATTGATGACGAGGACAATGATCTACTCTTTTTAAGCTCATTACCCAGATTCTTTGACTAGTTTAAGGATGCCCTTCTTTGTGATAAAAAAGGTACTACTACTTTGAATGAAGTCTAAACAACTGTGAGATCACAAGAATTTTTAAAGGTGGAAGATTTGAAGATTGACAATAATGGTGAATGCTTGAGTGTCGCAAGATGAGGAAGTGAGCATAAAGGTATATCCAAGCTCAAGTGGTTTGACAAGTCAAGGTTAAAATTCCTTATTTTTTATAAACCTCGTTACTTCATGAAGGACTATCCTAAGAGGGACGACAATGAAGATTCTGATCAAATTGTTATTTCTTCAGATGAGGAAAATCATGATAGTGGTGGTGTATTAATGGTGTCGAGTTTGGATAATGAAAGAGACTTGGACCATGGACTGAGGTTTCTCTTATCACATGTGTCCAAGGAAAAATACTTTGAGATTTTTTTAGCTTTAAGAAGGTGGAGTAGTTTTCCTTGGTGACAATAAGCCTTGCAAGGTTAATGACATTGGTACGACCAGACTTAAATGTTTGATGATCGTGACCTCCTTATATTTAATGTGAGGTATGTTCTAGAGCTTAGACAAATTTTTTTTCCATAAACATGTTGGTTATCTAGGCTATTTCACTAGATTTGATCATGGGGTGTTCAGGATTTTGTATGGTGGAGTGGTCATGGCTAAAAAGTCTAAAATATTTGGGATATATATTTTAGAAGGTTCCAATGTTATTGTTCATTCATAATCCACTAGTGAAAACTTTCATGTTAAGAAGAAGTTATGAGGTTTGAAGTCAATGCATGGTAGATGCATGTAAGTTATTTAATGAGTTTTGCAAGAGATAAGCGATAAAAACTCATTTAACCGTTGAGTTGTCATTGAATTTTTAGGGTAAGGATGGTGCCAAAGCAACTTACCAGGTCTGCATATGTCCATACACTTACAAAGTTTGGAGTAAAAAACATAAAGTTTACTCTATTTTGAAGGCCATCAAATTTTGTTATTTATAAAGTTAAGCTAATTCGACTTGATAGCAAGGTTGTGAATTATGTCTTCAATGGATATCCAAGTGATGGGAAGGGTTATGAGTTGTAGAAAGTGGAATAAGAAGGATCAAATTTTATCATTCACATTACATTACTATCAAAGAGTTCCAAAAGGGGAGGAAGAATAAATAAACAAAGATGGAGATTTGAGATACTATGGCGGGGAACACTAAGTTTAAGGTGGAGGTTCTTGTTATGCATACTTGTAGTAGTGAAGGAATGATTGCATATGAATTTGATTACTATTTTACTCAAGATAAGTTTATTAGGTCTGTGATTTTATGGTTGACAATAATTTTGGTAAAACAAAGAGTTGGCAACAATTTTATCAAAACATGTTTCATTGGGAAAAACATGTATTGCGGCCTAATGTTGAACAAGATGTCGTAACATCTTGACCAACTGGTACTATAGAGTCTGCTGGTACTTTATTTGACAGATATTCTAACAGATGTTGTAACATGTTACAACAGAACATCGTGTCAGTACAACTGGATAATATACTTGAAGATTTGATTTGAAAATATGAGTTTCTGAAGGTTTCTAGTACTCATAACAGGCGCATGCAATCAAGGATTTTTAGGAACAATTGAAGATTTGATCAGTTTCATAAAAAGTATCTTTGAGACTTTTTAGTAAATATTTAAAAGATTTGTTTTTTGTTTCTATTTTTGTGGAGAAGATTTTGAAGGAATTTAGAACTGAAGACTGGATTTGATTGAAGAGTTCAAGTCCAACTGTGACGTCTAAGACCTAGTTTTTTAAGCATTATTTTTATTGTAAAACCTTGTGAAAAATAAGGGTTTAGGGTTTGAGAGTTGTAGCGGTAGAAATGTTCAAGACTAAGCCATTGAATTGACTAGACTTATACAAATCAAAATAAAAATCGCCATCGCGCTTTATTATTTCCAAAGGAATGGGAAAAGAGCGAATAACTCAAAAAGAGGGGGGAAAGATTCAAGGTAAGGGGGTTGGTTATGCAAAGGGAAGGTATTAGCACCCTAAACATCTACGGTACTCCGCAGGAACCTCTTTGAAAAATCTGTATATTTTGGCTATGAAATATGTTGTATAAAATAGATAGTGGAGGTGAGAAAAGAAATATATTTATTATTATTGCACCCACCGCGGTTGCGAACCTTTAGTGCCTATGTACCACCTTTTAGTGCAATAGGGGATCAGGGTACACGTAGTTCCTCTTTTAAAAATTTTAAAACACAAATGTGTTGGTCAATTTTATGAGATAAAACATCATCGTCATTGTCCGTGTGGAAAACATATTTACTACCCACAATCATGAGAAAGGAGAATTAGCATCATCTCAAAATGGAGGATATGGCTTGGATTTTAAAATCAACAATGCCTCACTCAACACCCAAGTGGAAAATATCTCTCTTTACTACATATTGTAGAAGTATAATTGTTTGCATCACTACAAGGATTGACAAGAGTTCAATCTTTTGAGAAAAGTTTAAAGATAAAATCCAAAGTGGCAAAATGGTTTGAAATGAGATTGATTGACTTTTAGTCTTCTCACAAAAATGTCAAAGTATTGTTAAGTTTATTGAAGTTTATTTATGAAAATGTTTGAAAATGCATGGACCTAAGTCCAAGTTTATTATAAAAGTAATTCAAGTTTAAAACAAGAAGAATTTTCAAAAGGGGGAGAAGATTTTTGAAATTAAAGAATATGGGAGGAGAAGAAGAGGCTACCCTAAAGCATAAGGTAAAAGCTAGGAATAAGAACCATCTAACCAACAAGAAGCCAATACTTGACATTATGAGCCAAAATAGAATTCTCATTCTTTGGATTGAAACCAAATAAGCAAATGTACTAGACCTCTTGAGAGAACCAAACTTCAAGTGTATTAAGTCTTCACAAAAATTGGGCAGAGTAACAGCTATATACGGGTGAATTCCAGATTACAAACAAAGGGTGTAATCACAATAACCTGCACACAAAACAAACAAACAACCCAATGTATTGAGGTAAACCTCAAGAGCTCCAAACAAAATAATCAGATAAGATCACAAGGTCTCCAATCATAGGCCAAGGTTTCTAATCCTAAGTCTCAAAAGTCCAATGCTCCATAATGTCGAGGGTAGTAACCAAATAGTCCAAGTATCATTAAAGATTTTAGGGTTTATGTTGATTATTAGGTGTCTTTAAAAGAAAAGAAAAGCTCAAGTGAGCAAAATAAAAAATGACAAGAATATAAAGGGGCTCAAGTGAGCAAAGATGAAAAATAGCATGAAATGTAAATGCTAAAAGTAAATGGTGCATAAAGTAAAGAACATAAAATAAAAACACAAAATAAAATCAATTATTAGTGATTAGTGGTTAGTTGGATGATCATCTTGAAACTTGCATTTAAAAATCATTAGAGGATTGGTAGAACCAAAGCCTCCACACAACAAGTTGTATTTGCTTTTTGTCAAGTATATCATCCATTTGGAATCCTTATGAGTATCACTTAATGATCAATGATGTTTAAGTGATCCGCGTTGACCAAAGGTGTTGTAGATCCATTAGAGGATTGGTAGAACCAAAGCCTCCACACAATGAATCTCAAGGTTATTGGATCAAAGAGATCAAATTAACATACTTGGGCTTGCAAACATAA